ATTAATATATGGAAACGTATTTGCAAAATACGTTTTCACGAAAACGTATTTGCACTATACGTTTTAAATTTTAATTTTACCAAAAAAACGTATTCCGAACATGCGGTTTACTTAAAACGTATTTCGCTCATACGTTTACGTGTGAAAAACGTATTTTCCACATACGTTTTTCCATATGTTAATTAAGATTAATTATCTTAATTACGTTTTCTTAGTAAAACGTATTCGTTTATATATTATAAACGTATTCTAGTAATGCGTTTTAATGTAGAAACCGTATTCCCGGAATACGTGTGTTTGATTTTTTTCCACCAATTTTTTTTTTTATTTTTGTCTACTTATTTTTTTTTTTAAATAAATAATTAATTCAGTAATTGAGAGTGTGATTGAATATAGTTTTGATTGATTTTTTTAGCTAACCATAATTAATTTTGACAAAAATAAATAAATTATTGAGTCAGATTTGAGTGAAATTTTGAATTTGTATTAAAATAGTATTTAAATAAAAAGATTAAAGTTGATCTGATGTAAAAAAAAAGAAGAAAAGTGGCTAAAAGTGATAAATATTTCAGATAATGTGAATAGATAATAGTAAATTAAAGTTGATGTGATGTATAACGATAATTGATTGATATTATTTAACTATGTTAATAATAGTGAGGATTTGATGTTGACGTTAAAATTGAGTTATATTTGAATTGTGATAATATTATTATTTTTATTTATTTATTATTATAATTAGTTTTGTTTTTTTTTTTTTTTTTTTGTATTGAATGAAATCCAATCACACCCAATAAACTTGTCAATTGTCCCATTGAAGGTCAAAATCCTGTCATAAGTGTGTCTAGTCGAAATGGTTGAAACTTTTGCGTTACTATTCAAGAATTTATTGGCAAACCGTCGCATTCTCAATTATCCACCCTTCCTATTTCCCTTTTTTTTTTTTTAGCTCAAAAAGGCATTAGCATTTAGCAATAAACAAGAGGAAGCTCGGTTCTTCTTTTTAGATCGTTTTGGGAATTGCTAAAGGGGTAAAAGCTCGCCGTTTTGTGGCCCATCTCCGCCGATCGGAGGGCCGCAACACGACGACGCATAAAGGGGGTGCGGTAGAGGTGTGGGTCCCCCCCCCTTTTTGTCTGTCCGTCAAGTTCTTGTCTGGCCGTAACCCTACACAGTTCGCGGGTATTTATGGGCACGAGATTTTGGTACTCCCCACAATACACATCCAGACATTTTTTTTTTGTTAATTTATTTATTTTATTTAATTTTCCTATGCGTGGATGGTTGCATATGTTTTTGCTGGTATATTAAATTTGGTTAATGCGTTCGCTGTTTTTGTTTGTGTTGCGGATTTTCATGTGAATTTCGGCTGAATTATTAGAAAATTTTGAAATTCTGTGGTTTGTTTGGATTCTCTGGTGAGGCATTTGATACCCTTTCATTCTTTCTTTCTTTCTTTTTATACAGTTGTTTTGGCGGTTATGTTTATTAGAGAGGTGGGAATGAGGTGCAAGCGAATCCATTTAACGTCCGGGTTGATCCTTGTGTTGCTTCTATCCGGTGAGTTTTTGTCGGGCTCTGACGAAAACCTGCTCTATCTGTGTCTTTATTCGTGTTGGCTTTGGTTTGTATTGAAATCAAGAATCTATTACGAACTGCTGCTGATGATAAAATTTGGAATATACCATAGTGTGTACGGCCAGTGCCAGTCCTCTTCTGCTGTTTGTTGCTATGATTTTCTCGTGTTAAAGCTCCAGTCTTTATGCGCTATTTCTTTGTTTAAACGGTGGCGTGGAGAAAATTTATAAGTATGGATACTTTTGTTGACATAAATTTATGGCTGGTTACTTATATGTATCTCTAGTAGATATATTCTGAAATATTGATGAAGGCTGGTATCTTGTTGTAAGTGGTAACTAGTAATTAGTGACTATCTCTCAGCATAGTCTTTCCTAGCCCATTTGCATCGAATATTATTAGAACCGTGCATGGATGTATGCAGTTTTGAACACGTGAATAAGGTGAAAATTTCGGTACTTGATATATAATTAAAAGACAGTTCTTTCATAGGTAGCCTGTCTTCATCCAAAATGAGGTTATGTTACTAACATTTTTTTGTTTCCAGTATCTGTCAAATTAAAGGCTTCTGAGGAAGATGGTGGCTATAAGAAGTGTGAACGTGAGGTCAAGAAATGGTCATTATCTTCAACTGATTCTGAGGTGAAAGATGACAATCATGCCCTGCGTGACTTGCTCTTTTTCCTGCACGTCCCACGAACAGGAGGACGGACATATTTCCACTGGTAACTTGTTTTTGTTTTCCTGTGCTATGAAACTGCCTGGTTCCTTGTTGCAATGCATACCCCCCTTTCTAACTAAGATCCGCTGCTATTTCCTAATTACAGATAAAATCGAGACTTTTAAAGTTTTCTGTCATTTACTCTTTATATGTGATTTAAGATTTGCTCTTCATCAAACTTCTTTATGTAGTTTCTTGAGGAAGCTCTACCCATCGCAGGAATGTCCGCGGTCTTATGATAAATTGAGAATGGACCCAAGGTAATATTTATAAATTCTACGCATGTAGTGAATAGGAAATAAGAAATTACCGACTATGTTTTAGTTTTTAGGTTGATATTGTCAGCTACTGAGGATATGCTTACAATGGTGTGCTACTTTGAACAATTCTTGATTTATTTGATTTTGAAAGTTGGTTCGCACGTATAAGATATTAAATAATTGTCATTGTGGGTTTTCATTATGATTGATGAGATAATCCACCGTTGCCAAATATATCAGAAATTATGGTAAGGTCCAAAATCTGATGCCTTGTATAATTTGTTGGGACAGTAAAAAGTGCTCCAACTTGATTATTATTTTGTTCAATGACTATCTATTAAGTAACACTACTATTTCTGACCTTACATGGAAACTTGGACCAGATTTTTGTTTGCCAAGAAAGGGGGTAAATTTTTCCTTTTGATTTTGTTCTTCTGTCAAATAAAATAAACATTTGCTGACAAATAAAATAAACATTTGCTGACATACTTGCTATGTATAACTTGTTACGGATGGTCCAGTAGATTCATAAGAGGATGTACTGCCAAGCAGAGTGCGCAGTACATATTACGATTCTTCTCAATCTTATTAAATAATTTTTTGTCTTTATGTATGTACACCTATATAGTTATATTATATATATAATGTGTGATTTGAGTTTTATGGTGCAGAAAACCAAACTGCCGGTTATTAAGTACTCATGATGACTACAGCATGATGTCAAAACTTCCCAAGGAAAAAACTTCAGTGGTGACAATACTTAGAAATCCTGTTGACCGCGTATTTAGCACTTACGAGTTTTCTGTGGAGGTTGCTGCTAGGTTTCTGATTCATCCTAACTTAACATCTGTTGCAAGAATGGACAAACGCATACGTCATAAGAAATCTAGCGTAGGCACATTGGATATCTGGCCATGGAAGTATTTGGTTCCTTGGATGAGAGAAGATCTATTTGCTCGAGTATGTTCGGTTACTATTATTTAGAACAGCCTTGTGCTGGAATATTGGGATAATTTTTGGGTCTAATATATCTAACCGGATGCTTGTTATGGTGAACTAACTTGTGGCTGAGATATATTTTTTATTCCATAATTTTTTATCTCCTCGACCACCCCTCAATGGCAAAAAAATACAACCTACTTGACCAAAGGTAACAGAAAGAAAAGTAGTTTCGGAGTTTTAATTAAGTTATTTATTGTCAGATACTTCCGGAATCTTGAAATTTACTGCCTATTGTTTAATTAGGATTGGCCTTTTGCAGCTTATGTTTCCATTAACCTCTTGGATATGCCTTGAAAATATCATTTTTCACTAATTAATGTTTCGATAGTAAGATATTGTTAACCATAGTCCCCCAGAATGGCTTCTTACTATGTTATCTTACTTTCAGCTATGATACTATGTTTCATGCCTACACTGTAGTTAGATAGTACCATACTTCCTTTGAGGTGTATACATGTTTCACCTTCGACGGATTGGAATTGGAACATCATTATGCTACAAAATATGAAACAAGCTGAACTTCTATTTTTTTTTTTCTCTCTCTTAATGCTACTCTTGAAGTTCAGCAGTATCCTATCTAATGATCTATTTGTACATTTGATGACAGAGGGATACAAGAAATCTTAGAGGGCAAACCCATTTGGTAACTAATAACTCATATGACATGGAAGACATGGTGATGCCTCTGCATGAGTACATCAAAGACCCTATTGCACGAGATATTGTCCATAATGGGGCGACCTTCCAGGTATTTGCAGTGTGCTCATTCTTTTACATGGTTATTTTGGGGATTGCTGTTGGTTTCTGAGAAGGCGTGCTTTAGAAATTCTGTAGTTATTTGATTCATTCTGGGACCGAAACTTATGGCATAAAAAGGAATGCACCAGGAGAAATTAAGGAAGAATGGAATCTGCAGTATGATATTATATTATTATATATTATTTAGTGTCTTTACTAGGTTAGGTAGTGATTCTCTATTGAAGAATAATCTAATATCTATTTGTTTATACTTTGCTTGGTAAGTGGTGAAGTCCTGTAATCTTTTTTCCTTAAAAGGAAGTAAAAGTTATATCATTAAGGGGAGCAGAAATCTTAATCCCAGGAAAGGGTCAGGGAGTTTTGGATCTCAAGAAAACCCAATCATTCTCAATTTTCATAATTTCCTATGACGTTATATTTGGTTGTATCATTAGTAATATTGCTAGACCCTCTTTTCCTTTTTAGAAAGAGAAACCGGAGGAAACTTACTTTATCTTTCAAGCGTAGAGATACTCTCTTAGTTTGTGTTTGGTTGGATTGTTTATATGCCCACTGGTGGTTTCCTATCAAATAAACTTGGCCAAATGTTCCCTATTGGGCTGTTTGGTTTGCAATGGTAACTTTACTCACGTTTTTGGTTAGTACACAAGATAGCCAAAACATTAGTGTTCCATTTTACCCCTCTTTTAGCTTTCCATAAAAAAACCCTTCTCACCATCTCATAAACCGGCAAACAAATCAATTCAGTGTTGGGTGGTAATGTATACACAATGAAACGAAGATATCAATCTGAATACCCAGCAAGCTTTATTTTATCTGGTAACTACCCAGCAAGCCTTATTTTATCAGGTAACATTTTAGTTGAAAAACCCCATTTGAAGAAGTGAATAATTTCAGGAAAATGAAAAAGAAAAGAAACTATACTGATATGAAAATAAAATTTTGAAGAAAATGTGAATGTCATATGAAAGAAGCAATTACATCTCAAAACTGCTGAAATCTGGTTGTTTTTCTCACGAAGTCCACGAATACGGCCGCGAGGTCTGAGATAGATTTAGGGTTTAGCAGAGGCGAAGTGTTCGGGTTCCTCATTGGGATGCAAATGACATGTATGTGCTATTGAATGAAAGGGTATCGACGTATCGGGGGAACGTGTGTTGCTTTCCACTTCATGAATGAGTGTTGGTGTATATGGGCACTTTGGTGGTATGAGGTATAAGCCAATTGTTTGATAATTCAGGGGGCCAGCAACGATTTTCAGGGCCTGCTAACGACCAACCACTTTTTTAATGATTGAATATTGCATGAAATGGTATGATATCACCCTTATTATGGCCAACCAAACACACTCTTAAGGTTTGTGATAGAGATGAAAGAATCGCTGGAAGAATACGAACTATAGAATAAATCATTCTTATATTTTGATCTTAATTGTGTTTAATCTTATAGATTAATCTTAGGAAATCTAGCTAATTTATTATTCCTTTATATGCCATTTATTTCTTATTGCTATTTATATTAATGATAGTTTAGCATGTAAGATAGGGTTGTCGATAGCACAAGAACACAGCAGTTTATTCTGTAAAAGCTAAGACTATTTGGCTATTTTATTCTTGCAGTGCAGAAATCTATTTTATGCTGGAGAAGTTTAATACTTATTTTTTGACCATGTTATATATATTATCAATAAAGTTCGAAGATTTCTGTGTTTCCTAATTCTTCACTCCTAAGTCCCATCCAGTTTTACAAATGCAACCTGATACTCAGTTTGTCGAATAGAAATAAGAATCTAGGTGGTATTTGTTGTTCTAAAATATAATTTGTATGTATTTTATTTATTTTTTATTAGACTAAACCTGGTGGGCAGCTTTGTGAATTATCCCCACCATCACGACAATTTTGCAATGTGTTTGGTTGCATCATTTTAATATTTTATTTGTTTCCAGGACCTCCTAAGTCATTTGACTGCATCTGTTTTTGATTTTTCTCCCTCTTGAATTCTCAGATCACAGGTCTCACAAACAACTCCTATTTTCCGGAAGCACATAAAGTGCGTCATTGTGTGCTCAAGCATCCGAACCTTGGTAAATATGTGCTTGAAGTTGCTAAGGTATGGAAGGTCTTCGTGAGGACATTAGATATTGATTAATGTTCACTTCTATTCTTGTACTATTTTTATGATCTGGTCCTGATTGTGTCTTAGAGCTGTAAATCTTTAGGGGAGGTTGGACAAAATGCTTTACATTGGACTCACTGAGAACCACAAGGAATCGGCATCTCTGTTTGCAAATATTGTTGGTACACAAGTGATATCTCAGCACTCGATATCAAGTGTCAGTAAAGACGTTGAAGCTGACAGTGATTCAGGTATTGATTTAAACATTACCCTGTTTGTATATTTTCCCATAATTTCATATTTGGGGTTGTCTATTTTGGGCATCAATGCTCTTCTCGTTGAGATAACAGTTCTAGGGTTCTAGTGATATTTTGCTATGTGTTCTGTCAGGTTACCTATTTTTTTAGTGCAGGACTCTAGAAATATTTTTCTGGTGTACACTTTTGGATTGAAGTTTTACTTTTCATTACCATGTTCTTATGTGCTGCAGAACACAACTCTTTGCTTTCTGATACAGAATCTGATTCCAATGATCAAGTAAGAAGCTGATAATATATTTTCATCTCAACGTGCTTTGACGATTAAGAGTCCTGAACCCAATTTGTTATATTTTCTGCATTACAGGGCAACGGCACAAACCAGGCCTTAAAGAATGTTTCATCAACTAACGACGATGAAGTATTTCATGAAAATGTTCGCTATATTAAAGCAAATTCTTCTTTGTCCTTTATTTTTTTCCAAAATAGAAAATAATTAATTTTGAGATGAGGTCTCTGTGTCATTCACCAGTTGACAATTGGCAAGTTAATGGATGCATATGAGCCTTGCATTGCAAATTTAAGGAACTCCCATGCAGAGAGGCGTGTAGCTTCGTTTAAGCAAATTTCTCCAGCAAATTTTACAAAAGAGGTATGGTAAGAAAAAGCTTAAGTTGGTATGTTTGTGCAAACAGTAAATGATTGAGCTTCTATGATTTACATCCCATGCCTGCTTGTGATATTATCAGTTCTTTTTCAGTCTCGTAGTCAGGTTCCTGATGCCCTTATCCACGAAATAGAGCTACTCAACAGCCTTGATGTGGAGCTCTACAGTTATGCTCAACATATTTTCGAAAAGCAACGAGCACATATCCAGAGCATGGCTTCTGCTGTAAGTAGTCTCTTTGCTTGAATTTTAACATAAAGCTGTCTTTCACTTTTTGAATATTTTTTTTAACCAGAGATGATCAACAGGCTTGCTCAGAATTTTCATCTGTTAGGTCTTCATAGTTATGGTTGGTTAATTGCATGGCCTTGTATGGTTTATGCATTTGTTTTACATCACTTGTTCTTCTAACCTTTTAATTGGAAATTCTGGATTATGTTATTTGGCTTATCAAATTTTGTGCCTCACTTCATTATATTAATAAGTTAAATCATTCTGAGCGATGGGTATATGATGTGATTAACCCTTAATTACAAAAATACCCTTGCGGTTGCCCTTTAAAAAGCCAAAAAAAAAATGGAAAAAGTAAGAGAAATGAATTTGATACCTACTAACACTCCCTTGATGTTTGTATTTAGTAAACAAGGCATAAGTAGGTTATTGTAATTTTTAGAAAAATACCCGAGTGTTATGCATGTTTCGTTTTTCCTGTTAATTAACCCTGTGATTAATTTTACTTGTACCCGGAATTTCTTGATTGAGCATAGATGAATACACTTGGTGAAGTTACTAGTGCAGCACACACTCTGATGTCATTCTGTGAATAATTACAAAATGGGACATCCGATTACAGATTTCGTTTTGTTTATTGGATTGTAGGAAAGGCTCGGCAGCACCCTTTCTACCGGCACATATCCAAGTTTATATAGCTCCCCTGCTTGGAAAGTCCCCATCCTGTCAATCACGGGCTTATTGTTGCTTATGTTTGTTTTTTTATTTGTAAAGTCAAGAAGAAGAATATCAAAAGTTAAGCTGTAGATGTGTATTGCATTACAGCAATCTGCATAGCTAGCATTCAGAAGATACGGTTACTGAGCTTCGTAAGCTTTCATGCTCGGCAGATTTGGGATGAGAAATAGAGTCGAAAGAAAAAAGGAAAATGCATGTACAACTTAAGGTAACATTGAGCATATATTGTCTACAGTTTGATGCTAACATAAGCTGGAAATAGAAGTCTTAATGAATTTAATCAGGTTCACAATTTTCACAACTCTTGGGTTTGTATGCGATGGATTTTGGTGCGGGATTAGCTTCTGTTATTGGAAGAACAGTATACTTTTTACATTGCTATATTAGTTTCATATGGGCAACACTGTTCAGTAAATCAAACAACAGGCTGTATTTAAATATATTTAAAAAAATGACGAAAACAATTTCAAGCCATCATAATGGAGGGACAAATGTCAAATCAATCGCTGGATTGTTTGGTCCAGTTGTTAAATGCTAGCCACGATGCGACAGGAGTTCGGGAGCACGGCTCGATGACTGGCAGCAACCGCAGCTACACAGAGCGCGAGCACGGCTCGATGACGGGCAGCACCGCAGCTACACAGAGCGCCCCGTTGGAAGGAGGCCGCCGGCAAACTCAGGACTAGGTTTTACTGTTCAAATTGGGAGAAACTTACGAAGAAGCACTGTTTAAATTGGGTTTTATTAACATATGAGGTCTTGGAATTTTAAACTGCTCCAATAAATTTTGGTTTCACAAAAATGTTGTTTCTATTTTAATTTAATCATACATTGACTAAACATACTTGTTTCTACGTTTTTCACTAGATGATTTGATCAAATGTCGTTAGTGAATAATTATTATTATTATTATTATTTTTATACTAAATGAATACCACGCATTATTGATATTATATTCTGTAGACGTGACATATAAGCATTACGTGTGTTTGAATCTAATTGAACTTGATATTCATTTTTTCAAATTCAATAATATTAATATATGTTTAATGTTTGTGCACACTTTCCTTAGCAATTATTGATTACCAATTCTTTAAATTATGAGAGGTCCACAAATTATTGTTCTCAAGCCATTTTTATTTTCCTTTTCTTTCTTTATGCCGCTTTGGAGAGAGGGTCTAAAAAAGCTGAAGAAATTGGCTTTGATCACAAGTCAGACACCATCAGTGAATGGGGGCCCAATGAGCCTCAATCATGGAGGATAACATTTAAACCAAAGTGGGCCCAATTATTTACCCACCCAACCCGCCCGCCTTCTCAAACAACAAAGCCCTCCCCATCTCAATAACACTTGATAGATAGTTCACAATGTGGCCGTGGATCACCTTCTCACCGTGCACCACCACACCACCGACATAACGTTCCTTAATTAATCATTTTTCTCAACCCAATGAATGTGAGAATGTGAGAATGTGAGAAAAATATAAGATGTATTAATCATAAAGGTATGTATATGTATATAAGGACAAAAGATGGACTTATGTTGGACCTTAATCTAACATAACCCTATAATACATAATACAACTACTATATAACTAACACCCCCCTCAAACTCAAGGTGGTATAGTGGAGATCAACTTGAGTTTGCTAAGAAGTAAACAAAAGCGACCGGGAAGGAAAGACTTCGTGAAGACATCCACAGGTTGATCCGTAGAGGAGACGGAAGCAAGCTTCACAATCCCATGTGCAACATGTTGTCGAACGAAGTGATAGTCGATCTCAATATGCTTGGTGCGCTTATGAAAGTATCATTACGAGACATCTTTATAGCATTCTGACTATCACAATGTAGAGCAGTAGACGACGACTAAGGTGCACCGAGATCAGCAAGTAGCCGACGTAACCATAATAGCTTGGAGGTGGAATCAACAAGAGCACGGTACTCATACTCTGCACTCGATTGGGAAACTAAGGTTTGCTTCTTACTACGCCAAGAGACGAGTGAATCACCCAGAAAGAAGCATTACCCATTAATAAAACGGTGATCAGTAGGATCTCCAACCCAATCTGCATCAGAATAGCCGCTAAGTGTCAAGGAAGAACGTGTCGAGAAGTGTAAAACATGCAATAGAGTGCCTTTCACATAGCGAAGAATGTGCAACACAGCAGAATGATGCGTGGTTCTCGAAGCAGCCATAAACTGACTCACAATATGAACAACATGAGCTATATCGGGCCGAGTGACAGTAAAATATATCAAACTCCCAACAAGCTGACGATATAACGTAGGATCCTCAAGAAGAGAGTCATCCAATGGAGTAAGATGAACATCATAATCAAGAAGTGTGGAAGCTGTCTAACAATCAGTGATTCCGGCCCGAGCAAGAAGATAAGAGGCATACTTGGCTTGAGACAAATAGAAGCCATCAGAGGAATCAGAAATCTCAAGACCCAAAAAATAACGAAGCTGGCGTAAACTCTTCATCTTAAAATGCTGACGAAGATAGTCCTGTAAATCGAAAATATCGTTAGCATCATCTCCCGTGATGATTATATCTCAACATAGAGCAGCAAAATAATGATCCCGGAGGAGGAGCCTCGAAGAAACAAAGTGGAATAGTGATCACTCGTAGTGAAACTAAACTGAAACAAAGCAGAACTGAACGTGGCATACTAGACACGAGGCGCTTGTTTCAAAACATACAAAGCTCGATGTAGACGACAAACCTTCCCAGAGAACAAGGACCCCGAAAAAGTCATGTAAACCTCCTCAGATAAGGCATCGTGCAAGAAGGCATTCTTGACATCTAACTGTATAAGAAACCATTGACGAACAACAGCAACAACAAGTAAACAACGACTATAAAGAAAAATAAAGAAGAATGAGATAACAGTAGTAAGACGAGCAACTGGTGCAAAAGTCTCTTCATAATCGATGTGGTACTCCTGTGAGTACCCCTTAGCAAAATCTACATAGCCAGGTAGAGAGGTCCACCGCTATCAAAATGAAATCTTTGTTCTTTTTTCCTTTGTATGTTACCAGTGTCAAACAGAAGCAGATAATGGTCAGATGAGGACATTAATATGTGCTTCAAAGAGAGTTTGGATATAGACTAAGCCAGTATGGAGATAAAAAAATCCTATCTAGCCTAGCCTCAATAAACTCAGGCCCCTCCTTATTGTTTTCCTAGGTAAAGCGGTGGCCAATGAATCCACACTCTGCCATGCACATGTCTGAGACAAATTTCTTAAAAGCAGAAAAACTATCCTCACTTCTCACCACCCCACCATTTTTCTCAGAATTTAAAAGGATAGCATTGAAGTTCCCTCCCAACGAACCAAAGCCCACCCCAGGGAAGCTTATGCCTAATAATAATAGACCACTGGAACATCCTATCAACAGGGACTGAGCTAGAGTACAAGAAGACAACCCATTTTTTTAACAGAATACCCCAACTCAGAAAAACAAACTTCTACACAAAAGGGATTACTGATAATATCAAAAATATTTACAGAAGGTGCCTAGAGAACAAACATACCACCTCTAGAAGCAAAAGGATCAACATAGAACCAATTATTATCAAAGCCATTTTTTTTTTTGTTTACAAAAAGAGTGTTTGTCCTATTTTTGTGTCTTTATTTTGGGTTAATTTTCCTTTTATTTTTCCCATTTATAGGATTTTCGTGGTTTATTTGGTTCAATTCTGTGTTTTTGTGTTTTTCTCTTTAGTTTCATTTTGTGCGTCTTTTTGCTGTGTTTTGCTCCGTGTTTTTTCCGTGTTTGTGTTTTTAGGAGGTAGGTTGTGTCGGTCGAGGACGAGACTGCTAGAGCTGAGACTGGGAAATCAAGAATACCCATTGTCATGCCCAGAACACTGAAGAAAGGACCGAAAAATGGACTGAAGAGCTGCCCAGCATTTCTCGCGACTCGCGACTCGCGAGATGGTCGCGACTCGCGAGTCCAACAGAGCCGAAACGATGATTTTCGCGAGACGAGTCGCGACTCGCGAGTCAAGGTCGCGACTTTCCCCAAATTTTCAAGATTTTTGCCGACGCGCGACTCGCGAGATGTCGCGACTCGCGACCTGAGAAAAGAGGAAGTCACGACTCGCGACTTATGTCGTGACTCGCTACTTACTCGGCGCGAATTTTGAGGTCGGGATTTTTACATCAGATTTAAGATCTAGGGATCAGTATTCAACTTCCAGACTTCGTTTTTACGTTTTTTCTCTCTAGAAACTCATTCCTTTTCATGCTTTGCTCTTGTGATTGGATTCTGGAGATTAAAACTCTATTTTCCTTGCTTTGGATTGGATGTTTTTGGATTCAACATTGAACTATTTATATTAATCGTAAGTTTTTCTTTTCTCAATTGTGTTGATGATGATGGCTTTGGTTTATATGAATTTTGATGTTGGATTCAATATGAGTAGCTAAATCCATACGCTAGGGATAGGGGATGATTGATTAGGTTCGATTATAATTGCTTTTTCTTAATTGTTCATATCTATTCAAGTTGTTCTTATTCTAGGGTTAGTAGACTGATCACCTTTCTAACCTAATTAATCAACGTGTAGAACCGAGAGGGGAGACGTTGGTCGATATAGGCTTGTTTAGAGTAGACTTGTTCGTAATAGTATTGTCTATGAGTTGTTGGAATTGATAGTCGATCGTGTACGTTCACTCTCTTGTTACGAAGAGTTATTGAGAGTGAGCCTCTGGACGAGAAACGATTCAAGTCCTTTAACCGAGCAATTGATTGCCGGTAGTTGTGTTAGAACCGAAAGCAATTATCCCCGATTCCCTAGCTCTTAATCATTTGAGTAAATTCGTTTGCTATTTAAATCGCTTTTCATTTATTTTCAAGTCACTAGTTATAATTAAAATCAAAACCATTGAATAGAGTGTTTAGAATTTTCTATATTCCGTAATCGAATACGTACGATTAAATCCGGCTAACCTTCCTTGCAATACGACCCGGGGAACGAATCTTTCGATTTTATTCCGGTAAAAATACTCACAACAAAGAGGAAACAAAACATTAAGGCTGGAAAATTGTAGAGGGCCATAAGGGTCTCCTTGCGCTGGAAAATTGTAGAGGGCCCTCCTAGTCCTCTACTATTCCACATGCAAACTTTCATTGGAAATCCCAGGACCATTTAAGGCTGGTTTCCTCCACCTGAATATCAAAAAGGGTATCAACATTTTTTGTTTTTTCATTTCTGAAGAGTCCTGAGTCGGGACTTTCCACAATTTGGAGCTTTCTTTTGCCCAGGTCTTTTAGGCACAAGAATGTCAGAGTACACTGGATTATCCATTAGCATATGTTCCACCGGGATTGAGGAACATGCTTTGTGTTTTTTAATAGCAGTTTTTCTAACTGTTTTGATAACATTCAAGGGTTCTTTGGAAAAAGCTAGGGGATTGTTGAGGAAAATTGTGCTATCTGGAATTTTATTAGTTGTAGTATGGCTAGGTGAGTTGGTGTTACGAGGGAGAACATTTGGTTGAATATGGCTAAAGTTTTCAGCTAGATTGGGGATGATAGTTTGAGCCTCGACATTTAGGGAGGGAATAAGTTTATGAGGAAGAGAATTGGAATTACGTGGAGATGATTCAACAGCATTAGGGTCAAGCTCAGGGCCATTCACAGCAGCCACCCCAACCATATGCAAACTCTCACTTCTAGCGATATCAACACTCTTGCGTGAGCACCAGCGCCTATACGGAGAAAAGCTTACTTACTTATGAATAAAAAGGGATGGCTTAAACTTACTAACCCCAGACTCCCCATCCCCACAACTAGGTTGGTCAAATTTTCTCTCCTTACCCTCTCCAGTCATCCCATAGCCCCCAAAACTGGCTTTTAGCCAATCTCCATATTGCCCTGAGTGAAGCACATTTCTACCGATAGCCTCTTTCTTGCGCCCACATGACCTTTCACTGTGCCCAATAATTCCACAGTAATAGAAAAAAGATTGTAGATTTTCTCAGCGGAAGTCTATCCACTAAATTGGATCCACTAGCTTAAGCTTAGTCCCTCTGAAAATTGGTTCATCAACATCAATCTTCACCAGAATTTTGACGATTTTACTGAGGGAACTGCCAGGACCGGGGACCGCCACATCTACAGCACCCCCAAAGTTTTTCCCCACTCTGATACCAGTCTCCTTGGATATCTGAGAGGAAGGTTTAGAATATGCACCGACAACTCCTCTTTTCGCTCGTTAGCGTCAAAATTTGTACTATCTTTGCACCACTCCTTGAGGAGTAGATAGTGGCCGTCAAAATACAAGCTTTGCTGAATAAAGCCTTCCGTTTGTTTTCATTTGATTGAAATAGAAATTGAAAGAGATTCTCACGCAAGACTCGGATTGCAAAGGGCTTACGAGTTCTCTATACCAAATTCAGGGTTATCTTAAGACCGCCGAGATTTGCCCGTTTTTCTCCTACTATCCGACCATTAAACTGCGAGCACATTCTTGAACCCCTGGGTCAATATCTTCGTCAGATAAAAGAGTTTCAGCATTTTCTTTCGCAGAGAGATCAAAATTTTGCAGTTTAACGATGATATCTTGCTCCATAATTATCGATGAGCAGGACAAAGAGGAATACAGAACTCACAAAGGATCGAATCCAAGGAAACCTGCAGGACAAGGGAAAAGGAGTTCAGCTTGACACCATGGAAAATAAGAGAAAGCCCCAAGAGAACTAAAAACCCTGACCCTAATTAGGGATGAGATTAGAGAATAAAAGATTAGAAAATAGGAGACAAAGATAAGAAGGATCAGAACATGATGCAAAGGAATAGAAAACACTTAGAACAGTTAGAGATTATCAGGAAAATAGAGAATGAATCCATAGAGATGGAACGAAAAAACTCCAAAAAGAGAAAGGCTCTCCTAAGGGACGAGAACCCAACAGCAACATCCCCGTTGAATCAAAATTCGATCCATAGGAATTATTCCTGAAGATTTGGAGCAACTGGGCAATGCGGCTATGTCATTCAAGAATCAGTGTTCCTCTTTTAGTTATTGTGATTTTGTTTTTCATGCTCTAGTTTGTAAAGATTGTATTACTTTAGCCAAAATGGCTCTTCAAAGTGATTGCAAACATCATTTTGGTATTGTCTGAGCATGTGTGTGTACTTGCTTGGACAACATTTGTGCCTACTTAGACCTCGTATTGTAAGACGCTTTACTGAGTAATTTTATTTCGTTTGACCTCAAAAAAAAAAAATCTCAAGGAAACAAAGAAAATTAAACTTGGCTTACACTTAAAACCAATACTAAAATTGAAACAAAATCTGACATAGCTCTATTACCTACAATATAACACCACACTACCTTTTTTAATTTCCACGAAAACAATATTACATCGAACTTTAAAAAAAAAAAGTACAATAGCCCGTTTTGATAAAGCCACATATATGATATAGGGAAAATCTACGGTCCTGTTACGGAACCATTCTAACTAATGGGACCATTCCGTTGAGGTTTATAATCGTTAGATCAACCATCCACGACGATTACATGATAATCTAACGGTTACAAATCCTGACCAATTTGTTCCGTAACAGGACCGATAGCATTTTCCTATGATATATTACATAAAAAAACACGAAAAAGAAAGAAACAAACGCACTTTGCCCCTATCTTTTTACCCTATCTTTAGTTTCTGCTAACGCTCCTTTCCCCAACTCTGTCACTGTCTCTCAGACCTTCCATAATCCGATGGAGTGAGAAGGTTGCAAGGGTTGGGTTATCTCCTGCTGGTATGCGCTCAATTAAGCTTTAATTTGAAGTTTTATTCTTTTTTCATTCATCATTTGCCGGTGTTTTAGTTTAACTGCGAAAAAAAGACAACTTTTCCTTCTACATAATTGTACTGCAACATGGGATTAAATGGGTTTTAGAGCTAAGTCATTTTCATAGTTTGTCTGTGCATTGATGCAGTCATTCAGACAGTTCTGTTCTTTGATAAATTTGATTTTTAGGGCTGACGTTCTGTGGAAAATGTAACAGACGTTTACTGTTCAGTTAATAGAGCAAACATAAAGGGTAGGAGACTCTGTGGCACTCCAATTTCGGTAGATTTCTAGTTTTTGAGGAAAATTGATTGATGATTGCCTTTTGTATTTACTTGAAATAACTTCCAATTGCACAAGTTTCATGAGGCACATTGGTCATTGGGGGTAAGAATGAAGCTTATTTGTTATGAAAAATCGTCGAACTTTCTCGATTTTTTACCCATTTAATGATATGCTTTTAAGACATGATCAACTTGAAAAATTTACAAAGATAATATATGCCTGTTTTGCAATTAGCGTTTTGGAGTCGAGTTAAAGATGTGAGAGCGAATTTTCGAATCACCACAGTTTGTGTGCAGTAGCATGTTTGAATTTTCGAATCACCACAATTCAATCAAATTGTTTCTCATATTAGTCGTAACAAGCATATTTATATTACATTGCGAAGTTGTTTAGAAGTTATTTTCATACGATGATGTGTTGAGCAGGGTGAGAATTTTGCATAATTTTTTTTTTTTAAAAGCATATCAGAATACTTGCCTTTGAGAAGGAATGGTTTTTTGAAGGATCAAGAGTTTCTTGCTTGCTATGTATGCAGAATATTGGTTGTAAAATTAATATCACTATTATATATTTCATGTTATGTTTTTATTTTTTATTTTTTTGTCATAATCTTTTCAGAAATAGGAGTATGGTTGAGCCTGGTAATTGTTGGGATGCCATTCCCAACGGCGTCCCGGAAGAAGAAGAGTTTGATAACATTCTCAATATTTTGGATTTTCCTTTGGAGAGCTTGGAAGATGATGGGTTTGTGGCTGATTGGGATATCAGCAAGTCTCATTGTCTTGGGCCCATACCGTCTAGCGAGCTAATCGGGCCCCCAAGCACTTCCAACACCAAGGTTGATTCTAGGTGTTCGCCCCATTTGTCGACTGGACTCATTGCTCCTGTGAGTAATCCATATCTAATTCGTTTGTTAAAAACTTTGGTTTTGGAAACTAGAAATTATGCTAGGGGCTTGATTGCTTGATTATGTTTACCTTTGGCATGTTTGGTTTTGTTTCAGGCATTAGATATTAATAGTGGTTTTCACGTAGTCATCTTATACATGCAAAAGCAAGCCTGCTTGAGTTTCAACTTTTTTGGGATTTTGAGATAGAACCTGATGGTGGAAGTGTGTGTAGTGTTTTACTACAATAGTCTTGAAATATATATATTCTTTAAAAATATCCCTGGAAAGCTCCTTATGATGGTTATTTCCTACATGTCATAAAGTCTCTCATTAGCCCTACACCTTTCGAATTTTACTGAACTATTTATCTGATTTTGAATTTATTTTGTACATTTGTTCTTCCATTTATCATTGTCTCTGTGTTTGAACTAAAAAACTTTTTAGTAGAAATTATTTTTTCAGCCACGTTTCGTATTTCAAACTTATTGAACTGCATTTGTGCATCCAAGGATCACGTTGATTACGTAAAGAAACAGTGATACAAGCGCAATTTGCCCGAGCTCTCTCTCTCTCTCTCTCTCTCTCTCTCTCTCTCTCTCTCTCTCTCTCTCTCTCTCTCTCTCTTTTCCTTTTTTTATTTTATGCCATTGAAGTTGTTTTTGCATTAAAACCACTACGCCAATTCATATTCAATTCTAGAGTTAAATTGTGAACATGGCTGCATCATATTGCCTTTCCTTTTCCTTTTCCATCTACTTATTTATTGGCGATCATTATTCCCTCTAATAATGTATTTTGTTCTTCGCCCAAACCACCGTAAAAGATTGTTGGAGCCCAAGAGCAAAAGCAACAGCTGAACCTCGCCTCGACCCAGGAATCTAGCTCTTTCCACAGCCAAAGCCCGGTATCAGTCCTTGAGAGCAGTGGGTCATGCTCAGCTTCCAGAAAGAACCCGCCCGCCGCCCCCTCTAACCCGATTCCTGTGCGGGCTCGATCCAAAAGGCCCAAACGGGATGGTAGGAATCCCTGGCTCTCTGCATCATCTCATTTCACCTCCACATCCAAATGGGCTTCAAAAGACAAGTTGAATAAGAAGAAGCCACAGGATGAGGCTGAGAAATCGGTGCCGCAGGCCCCACCAAGCTGCTCCAAGAAGTGCACACACTGCGAGATTACCAAGACCCCACAGTGGAGGGAGGGCCCTTTGGGCCCTAAGACGCTGTGCAATGCGTGCGGTGTCCGGTACCGTTCGGGCCGACTGTTCCCGGAGTACCGGCCCGCAGCAAGCCCAACGTTTGTCCCCACCTTGCACTCAAACTCACACAAGAAAGTGATAGAGATGAGGAACAAAGGGAAGAAGCCGAAGGTGGAGGAGGAGGAGGAGCCGCTGGTTTCGTCACCCCAGCCCGAGTTTGTACCGATGAGCAACTATTTGTTCGATTATATTTACTGAAAAATCATGGTCGTGAGTTAGTTGACCTGAGCGATTTAGTTTGAATTTTGTTGTGAACCGAGTCCTCGTCATTTCTATTTTTCGTTTTTTTCCTTTTAGTGAACTCTTAATTAAGAGTGGTGTACAAAATGTGGGTACCGAGTGGTACCAAGTCTAAGGTTAGCCGTTAGAGTTAAGGTTATGAAAGTCGAGCTACCAGATACGAAATGTGTCCGGATTATTGACATATTCTTTTTTCTCTTTTCCTATTTTTTCTTTTCTTTTTCTGGTTGCTTTTGGATTTAGTGTGTGCCGATGTTGTCTTGGTGGTAAGAAAATGAAGTCTTGGTTTGGCTGGTGCTTGTTGTTAGGTATGAGGTATGTTACAGTTTTGGCTGTGTAAGTAGCTTTAATTATGTAATATGTGTGTATATATGATTATATACTTGTAGATATTCGAATCTTGTCTGAAACTTTGTCCATAACCATATACGGTTTTTTATGGGCTAAGTTGGACAAAGTTTTACAAGTAAGGAGGGAAATCACAATGCCAATTATGGTTTGCAAAAGCATATGCCGCCTCGAAAATGAAAAAACCAACCTTCAACTAATAAATACTGATCAAAATAGCATTCAAAAAGAGCATTTACAAAATTATTAAACAGATAAAATAGTAGATGTTCTCAATGTCTATACCCTAATATGGAAAAAAGTTCCCAACACTTGCAAACCCAAGAGTCATTTTCTTGTCACCCTAAAAAACCTAAGCCCTCTAGAAGGAAAATGCTTTGCCCACATAACCCTTTAATCAAACTTTGCCTCATAAGAGCATCCTAATCCTACCGTGAGTTTATTAGAACTAGTATCTTCACCGTGCGATGCACGGAGCATATTTATTAAAATATTTTAATAAATATATTAAATATATATATATATATATATATATATATCATAAAAAGTAAATGACAAATAAATAACATTATTATTGAATAGATAGTAAAAGTACAATATTATATGGTATTACAAATTTTGAAAAATTTCTCGATAGACAACATTTTTAGTAGTTTTCTTTTTCCCACTATCGTCCCCCCACATATTAATATCTTCAATCCCTGTGGATGTTGTGACTCGAGACACATCAACGTATAATTGATCATGACTAATAAACACGGGTCTTTCATGTAAAGTCCGACATGGGATAACGACTGCTCTTGACTCTTGTTGATTGTCATTGCGTAAGAAAACATAAGAGTAAATTGTCTATGCTGGAACTTGAAGGGTATCTGAGATCAGATGGAGTTAGGGAAAGTCTTGGTACCAATACCTTATGTCCAGCATTTGATCCTGTTAGAATCTTACATTCAAACACGTGAGTGAAAAGCTTCGGTATTACCAAGCGTGTTCCATTACACAGTCCAATCGAATGGTCAGTGTTTCTCAACAACATGACATAAGTCCCAACCTTTAAGTGCAATTCATGATTTGGAACACCAGAACATTTTATACTATTTAAGAACTCCTGAGTGTGCATGTCATGCAAGAAATCAACACCATCATCGAATTTGAATATGAGAGAACAATACACAGATTTTGATATGAGATTTATAGCGTGAATTACTCCTATTCTGTACTCGAGTATCTTGGTAAATTTGGGTATATTTTGTTAAGCATTCACCAATAATAATTCTTAATTTTTATTGACATTAATATGATTCAAGTATTTTGTTAAGCATTCACCGGCAAAATTTAAAAAATGATAAACTAAGTTGGCGTTGTCAACAAAACAGAAATTTTGTTGTCCCTCATGTTGTAGGTAGTTTTTAACCGGAGTAGA